TGTTTAGGATCGTCAAAATTATAAAAGGAAAGAAGAAATTAAAACATTTACCACATTTTTTTCTTATCTTGAATGTAAATAATCAAATTCCGTTGGCAAATTCATTTACCTGATCAAAGCATGTGAAAATACACTTATTTCAAACCAAATTGACTAATTTTTGGGGATTTTTTGCAACGTACTATGTTTACTTTGAATATCAACAAATCCTAATATCTAAGTAACCAGTATCATAAGACTTTGAGTAATCTGTATGGGCACATGGGGACCATGTATTCTCAGGCGGCGGCACTTTCGTAAACAGGGATCCGCAAATCTGAAAAGCAAATAATGCCTAAGATGATTTAGACCAATTTTTAGACTGACGTAGATGGAGTTAACCCAAATTCTTGATCTTATAATCCAGCTGTGCAGCCTGCTAGGGGAAAAAAGGGGGACACATGGCCAGGCAGATGATGACATCGCCACTGAGACCTGTGCTCGACAAACAGCACGTTTTGACGGATAAATAGTAGTGCAGCTTGTTGCTGAATTAAGTCAACAAATCCTCTTTTCTTTCTGATTAGACCAAATATGTTGATAATTAGAATTAGAAGCAGTTTGGAAATGATGCACGTAGCTCCTGAACACAGCTGTTTTTTGCTGCATATTATCTTCAGAGTAAATGTTCAAGTTGCATTATCTCTGCAAACATCTTTACCTTTTCTGTCTTTTTTCACAGTGTCCAAAAATACATTACCACACTCAATGAGTAAGAGAGAAAAATAGCACAGCAGGCAGTAATGACCAGAACAGGGCTCTGATGGCATGAAATCATGTAAATGGGATGCATCTTTTCTCTGGGCGATGTCAGTGGGATCCTGCTGCACAGACAAAAAGATCTCACAGAGCTTCCTCTCATCCTCTATAAGTCTGACCTTCCAAGTGAGCATGCTGCATCATTGTGAGAAGTGGTGATTCTGGGCGGCGCAATAAGTGGAGGAGAGCACATCAGAGTGCAGGGTATCTGAAAGCAGCAGAGCACAGAGAGGCAGGCACATCCGCCGCTGGAGGGATCAAATCTGTACCATCTGACGCTCAAGGATTTATGGGTTTAGTCAAAATTGCTTTTCCCACTGTGGAGATTAAGCACAGTAGGATGTTTTCCTGTCAGCCCGTAGAATAGCCGGGTGTTGCTGCTGCTGTTTTGCTCCCTGTTATCGGCTCCGGCGCTGGAGAAGGCAATGTCTCAGGAGGGCAGAGTGCTCCAAACCCTGGTGGGAAGTGGATTCTGATTGACAGGAGTGGTCCCGTCCTCTGGGGAATGTGAGCCATGCAGGTGGAAATGGTACTCATGCTTTTCTGTGTTTGGCTGGCGGGCACAGCTGCCAAGATGGTTCAGCCAAGAGGTCACAAGCTGGAAACCTACAAACAAAGCAGGTAATGACCACCAAGAGGTCAATTTCTACAGAAAGAAAAGCAATTTTAGATGTGCTTATTGGAAGAAAAAAAAAAATTCTTTAAGTTGAAAATACACAGAGACTAAAAGTTGTACTCCCATTCAGTTTGTATTTTTAGGTGTGCACAATGTTGCCTGCTTTCCCTGTTTCACCTGAACCGCTCCCTCCCCTTTAGAAGACAGAAGGTCGGACAGATGAGAGAGGGAGACCTAATTCCCTACATCTATTTATGTACGACAGGACAATGCTGTGTTCTCTTGCCCCACAGCTGCTGCAGGGCAGATAATGACTGTTTCTCTGCCGCCTGCAGTTGTAGCCAATGTCATTTCCAGGTGATTATTTAGGCTAATTGCAGCCTGGTTAATGTGTGCAATGGATTAAACCTTTTTACTGAGCTCTGAACTAGATCAGGGAGTCAATTTAACATCCGTGTTTTAGCAGTTTATTGACTGATCTGACCCACACATTGGAAGTAAAATCTAAAGAGAGATTTCTGAACTGACCTTTGGCTTTTAAAATGTAAGAGAAAATATGCATTGTTAATTTTTCATGAGTTTTCTTTAATATTAAAAGGCAGCTATCTCACAGACAACAAGCAGTTTTTGAAAGGATAATCCAATTTATTATTATTCAGATTGTATCTAATTATTTATGTCATTTTTTAAAATCTAAAATACAGAATATTTAATATAATGTGTTCAGATTTTCAGTAGAAAATAGACTCTTTTACTTTAAAACCTTCACATGTTTTTTACCACAGTTGACTGTTTTCCTCTCTCAATCAACCACTTTTCTGTTGAAACGTTCACTTTTATAAAGCACCATGTACGGTATTTGGATTTAACATTCAAAACAAAATTAAAAGTATTTGTAGGGGACAGTAACAGTGTGAGTTTCAAACCAGTCCTTTATCATATTTATATATAAAGCTCATCTAGTTCAAGTGCAGTGCTTCGTTTTCTTAATTTCCCTCCCTGAATTTTTCTGTGTCATTTGTTAAAAAAAAAACACATTTCATGTTTAGATGCAGGACTTTAAACTATTCTCCTTATTTTCAAAAGAAGACCTTTTGATCATTACATTGTCTTTTCTTTAAGCATCTTAAGTTATGACTATTCCTTTTGAAATAGAATAAACCGACTTTTTTAAGCCAAGAGCAAAACCTAAACCCATAGTTTGAATTTTATTATTTTGTTCTCTGGTTTTTACTGTGACAACTAAAGCAGCTGACACTAGTGTCTCAAGAAAAGGCTTTATTGATCCATAATTTGCTATTACAGAAAATGTTTGTTTCCCTTCCAGATTAATAAAGTATTTAAAAAAAATTGAATTAGAATTGAATTTTTGATTGAAGATGCGGAACAAAAAAAGTCACAGATGCTTAGTTGTAATATTATTGCACACCTGCCATGCTTTATTGGCATAGAAAGATACTCACCTACTAATGAATAATGCTCCCACATCCCCCTTATTCACACCATTTGATTGAAAGCCAAGCCCAGGATGTCCCAGATCTTTATAAAAGTTTGAAAACTCTGGCATAATGAACTGTGTGCAACATATATACTCTATGAAATTGTGCACAAATGCTGCCTGAGAGCTGTACTTTATCTCATGCTACACTATGCAGGTGCTTAGTTTGTGCTGCAGAACATTTCCTCACTTCAACATGTCAAATGCTTAAATTGACTCCTACATAAGGGCTTTTAAATTGCTTTCTTTATAAACCAGCTGATTATTTTAACAAATTGGGAAAATCTTTTAAACAAGAACAGAAACATCATGATGAAAACTGAAAAAACAAAGATAGGGGTTGTAAATACATTACAATTCTTTGTGTTTAGCTCCATGTGAAAGCATTTTAGATCCACCTGTGGCAACATAAACAACATAGATATCAAGGCAGAAGCTTTTAAAAATATATCAAGGCCACTGCTGCTTTCTGTCCATAGTGTTATGATGCTACTTGTCACAAGACAATATCCCCTGGAGTTTTGCCCATCATTTTCTTAACTATATTTGGCAAAACTGCTTCTACATTTGAAGACATTTTCAGATATGTCTGAGCTCAAGTATTTGAAAGCACAAATTTGATGCTCAGGCTTTGGAAACATTTTGTGAATCATAAAAAACCTTGAGCTGACAGTCGGAAACGACCATAAAATGTATTTTTCCCCTTGTCACTGTCGTGAATGTCAAACATATGATTAGTGTCAAGCTAACAACTTCTTACTCGATTCTCCTTTCACATTGGATTTAATACTTGAGAAGAGTGGCATATTTTTCTCTTGTAATTATTTCAGTTATTTTGGATATCAGAAAACTCACTTTTCAAGCATTATCCAGATTGTTTTATCTTATTATCAAAGAAAAGAGAAAGCCTATCAACCCCACAGTTCATGAATTGAAGCTGATTGGGCTTCTTTAGAAACAACGGCTCTCAAAATTGTCTTCAACAATTTAAGTATTAGGGTTTATTGATAAAGATACATCTAATATGACACAAAAACAAGAATAAAACCAATACATTTATCCACACAACACATTTTTTTCAGTCCTGAATTGATTTAGCTAACATTTCCCCAATTACTCCTTAAGCTAAAATCACAATTTGCAGAAAGGCTACAATGGATCAAGGTAGTTACTTGCTGCAATCAATCCAACAACTTTTGGATTGCAAAATAGCTATGAATAGCTATCCACCACAAAACTTGCCCCCATTGAAATCCACTCTGTATTTATGAACAAGAGGATGCATGGATTGAATTACCATGGCACTAAGACAATTAATTCATAAAATCGGTTTAAAAAAAAAGAGATTTGATGGTAAAATAACAGTAAATCAACATATCTGTAGGGATATCAAAGAAAAAAGGCACACCTACGAAAAATGCCATAAGCAACACTAAAGGATGTGCAGAAATGTCCAACATATTGCATATGATAACAGCTGCATGTGTCTGGAGCAAGGAATGGGGTCAAAAGACAGAAGCCTTTTGCACGCAGACCTGCATTACATCTCCAAAATCCTCACAGCTGTTATTGGATAAAAGGTTATTGAGGAGCCCTTTTCAGAACGTATTATTACAACAACAACAAAAAGGGGTTCAATGAAACATAGTAGCATCATGGTTGGCAGTAGATTTTCTTATTGCTTGTTTATTATTTTGACGATTGAAATTATGAGCATTTATCCATGAATTATAATTTTACTTCCCAATATTCACAATGAGTCCAAGCATGTATCCAATTAAAATAAAAAAACAGCCAACAGAGAGATCTGTGGAGCTTTTGTGAAGCAGATTTGGCAAACATTAACAACTAAAGGTGTAAGATGCTGATAGACTCCATCCAAAGACTAAATCCTGTTATTCAATCCAAAGGTGCATAAACATAGATTAGTTAACAGCATTTCATTTAGTTAATGTATAGGTGAGTTAAATCTTACCTTAGACATGGAAAAACTTTTAAAATGACTTGTAATTTCCTTCTTATATCACAAAACCTGGATTTTTTCATCAAGCATTTGTAGATTTAAAAAAAAAAATCTAATATTATCTAATATTATCACCTACATGAACAGCTAATTTTCTCAGCTGTGGACCTTTTGAATGTGGAAATTCATGAAACCAGACAATATCGTACTGTAGACACTTATAATAAGCCCATCTACTTAACAATTTCTTTCCTAGACTTTTCTAGAATGACTGCGTGCAATCAGCTGGTTTTCGTTAGAGAACTGTTATAAAATCTGTCTGGATAATTTGATAGGATTCTCCATATAAAGTGCATTTAGATTACTTTTTTATGAAACATGCATAAATGCATTGCCATATATAAACTAAATACAACTCAATTATGTTGTGATCGGAATGTATATATGTGTGAATTTACTTGGTTTTAATTTTCTATTTGATTAGAAAATGCTCAAGTTTGCATCGTAATGTTTGTTGTGAAATTATGCCACATAAAGCCAGGAATAGTAGAAATAGAAAGTAAAAAATATATATATTTTATTCAGTGATATCATCCTGGGGAGGTGGGTAATAAGCAAAAGGTCCATTTCCCAGAATTGCTTCAGGTCTATCAGAATAGTTGCTGCAGAAAATGATCCCTGCTTCCTGGATCCTTCGTGCAAATGGTGATAAACAACCGATGAAAATCATTTTTAAGGGCATCTTTTTTTATAACAGCAACACTTAACTTAGAAGAAGTACAGACCTAATTGAGATATAAAAATAAAAGAGTTTCCTGTTAATAAGTGTAAAACACTCCCTGCTTGTTATTTAGAAATATCAGCACAAAGTTCAGCTGTAGCCTGTTGCCTCAAGTGAGAAACTGTCTTTGGATTAATATCTGCTGAAGTTGATAAGATTTTCCGGAGTGTGTGACTTCAGCGTTGTATGCTTCAAAATGCTAACAGCATAGGGAGATTTGCATTCTCCTAATATATTCACCAAACCCTGTCAAATCATCCCCCTGCCTTTAGACGCATGCAGTATCACTTTTCATGCTTCAACGGTTATTTATAGATCAGAGGCGGCATAAAAAGTGGGTTCATTGTTCAGATTCTCCTCAATCTGAGGGGAAGTAAATAGGTTTTAATTAACCAAACAGCTGCTGTTTGTACACATCCTGATAAAAGCGTCAAAGTTTGTGGTTTGATGAGTTTTACCCAGAAGACACGTGTTAGGAAACGCTGTACAGTCATCATCTGAGCCTTACTGGGATAGAAATGGTTATTAAAACACAGTAGATATGATGATCATTATCATGACGGCTCATGTAGCTGGGAGCTGATGTGTAGTCTATAAACACTAGTGTCATGTTTTCAAGTCTGAGCTCTGTTGTTTCCAGTAGTTTCTTCCTGCAGCTTGTTAAAAGTCACCTCGCATCAGCCTTCTCCCCTCTGACAAGCAGGCTCTGTGAATACAAATGGAATATAAATCTCACTGCCCCTCTGGCCGCAGGGGAAACTCA